CATGTTTGGCACTGATCACCACCTGCACTCATGTATATATCATGTATATATCTATCCACTTAGCACTTTTAATTCTTATTCTTATTTTTATATGTTTATGACAGTATGTTTGCAATGAAGCACCGCAGCAATTTCCTAATGTTGTAAACCTGCTCAACATCTGGCAATAAACCCTTTCTGATTCTGATTCTGATTCTCTCTGCAGTTTATGTTACCCCCCCCCCCCAAAACCCCATCTCCATGGAGACTGTGTCAGCTCCTAAACAGAAAAAAGAACAAACTAAAAACCAGCAAAAAACGACTTAAACATAAACAATCACAAAGAGAGAACAATACAGTATCCACATCTGAACCAAAGAGTAAAACAGTGAAATGTAGATTATTAAATATTAAGTCTCTCTCCTGCAAATCTAATTATAAGCTAGTCTAAATAAATGAGTCTTAAGATGATGTTTAAAAGAAAAAATACAATCCAGCAAGGGTGTAGATTTGGTTGTGGCGTTGGTGGGGACGGAGAATTCAACCACCGAACCCTGCCCTGATTCTTTTTTTTACGTTTTGTCTTTGCTTCTTTATTAAAAAAAGGAGAAATATACTTCTCTACGTATGCTATTCTACCTGCTTTTAAAGCATTTAAAATTACAATTCATAGTTTTATGTCACGGCGGGGTGCGCCGATGTGAATGGAAACAGGACCCAAAAGCAGATGATGACGAGTAGTGCAAGTTTGAACAGAAAAGTGATCCTTTATTGGATGACGGCAGGAGTAAACCAGGAAATCCAAGTAAACTGACAAGACACTAAGAAACAAAATACTAAATGGTACTGAGACCAAAACCTAAACTATGACTGTGGTGGAAAATAACAAGCAAAGACCATAACTAAGACTAATAATACATAACAGACGAAAACCGTAACTAAGACTGAGGTCAAATAAACAGACGACCCGACAATGGCATGCAGAAAACAAAGGGCTTAAATACATACATACATGCATACATACATACATACATACATACATACATGCATGCATGAGGTGATCAGGGGAAGTGGAGACACATGGGGGAACAGCTGACTGACATAAACCTAATGACAGGACCAGGAGAGGAAAGCTAAATACAATGAACAAAGAACACATGACACTGTCAGAATAAAACAGGAAATACTAAAACTAAACATGACAACACAACTTAACAGACCTAATACGTGATGAATAAATACAAAACCCCAAAACATAGAAAAACCAGGAACAATAACTGCCTAAACTAAAGGCAAAATAGGAAATAACACAAAA